GGAGAGAGGAAATATGTTGTATGCCCTTTTTGCTCTCGCTTCAATACCGACGAACTGGCACGCCGAGACGAATTGCCTGTCATCCGAAAGTTCTAGATATGAGAACGTCCAAATGTGAATTGTTCGTGAAGAGACAATTTTTTCTCATCCCAAGCCATTCAAAATGATATCTTGCAAAACTGCCCGATTGTGTGACAGCTTAAATAATGCAAATCGTACTCGATACCATTTTAATATCTGTGTATATGTCGATTTTAGCAATAAATTTTGCTGTCTTTTCATAAGTTTCATGTAAATTAATACGTCAAATTTAATTTAATTTAATTTATAACAAGATTATTTAATTTCTGTGAAATTAAACTTTTGCTTTTACATGACATTTTTATATTTATAATGAAAATGTGACATTAATGTTCTAGATCTTTAGATATTTATTTAATTCTTTATTTAAATTAATTAATTAATATATAATTTAATTAACTAATTATTTTAATTAATTGCTACAATTTTTTATGTGTGTGAAAAAGAGCTAGAATTTTATACGTTACATTCATTCTAAAAATGTTGACTTCACAGAAATAATTGCTTCGCTGAATAAAAATTTTAGATCATTCTCTCTTTCTCTTCATATTCCTTCTTTCCACGTTACTTCTTTCTGCGATTATTTTACTTAATCATGATAAAGTATCACTGGTGGGTAAACTGTTCGTTAATGAGAACCACGAACACAAGGTAAATCCTCGAATGGTGAGCGCAATGTGCATTAATCATAATGCAACAGGAGTGAGCTCGCGAGCATTATACTATGTCGTGCACTTGAAACAAAATATTTTCCTTGGTGGCAGGGTAAACAAAGCTCTTTTCCGCTTATATTATATATCGCTGAATACGCAACGATTGTCGTGCACTCGGAAATGGAGTTTCCATGACTCAACAATATCAGATAGCGCGAAGAGACGCGAAGTAAGACGGTGTCACGCTCCATACGTGGGGGTGACACCGTCGCGTCGCGAATGCGAGAGGGAAACATTTATAGGATAGAACGGCATCCTTGCATCCTGAGAAAGCGGGGAGGGAGAAAGGGCAGTTCGCATCTACCCGAGATTCCGATTATCATGATTACAAAGTTGAACAGAAGTAAAAGCGAACGGCAGGTCCGGCTAACGCAAACGATATTATCCAGTTATGTATTATCTTTTTCATCGTGAAAAACTACTCGCAGCTTTTTCCGTTCCATTCTTCCCGTACTTTAAAGAAACAACGGTTCGTGAAGATAAATGCGCTCGTTTTCTGTATAGCTCTACTTCGAGGAAGTCTTAATGCGAAGAGCCGCCATTTCTTTAGTTTTTGCGCCGATTTCTGGTTCCCCCGTTGGTTACCCGGGAATACCTTACCTTATCTTCACTCCGCTCGTATTTTATGAAACCCTAAAGCATGATATAATATCTCTGTTTAAATGAGAACTGATAGGTATATACTTGAGCAAAATCGATTTGTGGAACTTGTTTGTGAACATCGTTTCCCCTTTTTACTGCAGTAAGGAATATTAAAATCGTTTGTAAAATCATAATTTTATTGAAATGAAATGTAGAGTAGACAATTCTACTGTTTTATCGTTTTATGTATAATTAAAATAAGCGCTTGGACGCTATTACGCTTACATTCAATAATTGATGATCCGTAATGTTAATCCAATAATTATTAAAGAAAATACGATAAAATATTCGCAAACATTTCTCGATGAACATCGTCATTATTTTGCAAAATTACAAAATACACAAAATTTATGTCCGCTTGCACGCGCGTTATCCGCGCATTGAAACGTCAATATTGGCCGACAGAAATTGCGAGGTATGCCGTTCTGAAACCGGTTGGTATCTCGCGGAAAATTTATCGAATTGCATTCTATACTTTCGGGGAACTGGAATACCTTGTATTTCTTGTTTGGTCGAAAGGGAACGCACCGTCTTCGTACGATAAATGCTCTCGTTTACCAAAGCTTTAACTTTGGGCCAAAGGTCTGGTACCCGTCGACTATACGAAACTTTCCACCCTCTCTTTTATTCCTTTTATTTATTTATTTTTTTGTTTTGTTTGAAACCACTGTCAGACACAAAGTTCCTCGATACAGCAACTTGGGCAGCTGTCGTGATACAGACACCACTATCTTTGGCGGAAAATATGACAAATTGGATATTTGCGGACGTCTGTGGCGCCGATATGAAGACTTTCTTTCGAAACTATCTTGTCTATTGGATGGGGGAATAATATCTACTTTGTGCAATACGACGTGCTACTGGCCAAACTATGCCCAATCTTTGAAAGAGTGACCTAACTATTTATTAAAAAAGTTTATATATTTTATTTATTATTATCACGAAATACTCAAATTATTTTTTCCGTTTTCTTTGTAAAGTTAAAGTTTATATAAAAATAAAATTAAAACGCTTAAGTCTAAAAATTATATTTTTGAAGTATTAAATTATTAAAATATTTTCTTATTATCCGAGTTCTTTATTCACTGAACAAGAAACGAAATTCAACTCGTTCCATCGATCCATTTTCCGTTATATTTCTAAATGCAAAATGTGTCGTCTTAAGAAAACGTAAATATGTGTTATTAATAGTCGAATCGCCCTATTTTCACGTTTATTCACTAACACAACATTCTCCGACATTTTTGCGACAACGTATCTGATTCGGGTGCAGCTCCAGCTTTGCCTGCTCGGCGAATACGCGTCTCTCCGCGTCCAGAGTCTTTGACGGCTGCGACGAGCAAATACGCGTCGGAACGCGGATGCGCCCGTAAAGAAGTGCGATTTAAATTCCTCGCGTGCGGCATTTAATGGCGCTCCCATTTTCGCCCGTGTCACGAATAATCGCTTTTCGTCCTAGCGCGCTGACGATCGTAATTGTGTATGTACAGGGTGTCCTGTCGTTGGCATATACTCTTTTAAGGATGTTATTTGCAATTAAATAAGAAATGTGATAGTTCACACAACGCTTTGATTTGCAATGCTAATAAGTGCTGTGTTGACAAGTGTTTAATTCACTTAAAAAGTGAAAATTAGAAATTAAATCTTGGTGAATCAGCCCTGTGTTTCTTAGCGAATTTACAATGGAAAGTATTCAGCCGCCAGTTGGGACATCCTATACATTCTGCTGAGGGAAAAAGAAAATCAGCGAGTCGGCGGCGTGCAATTTTACTGGTGAAAGCACGATGGGAATAGAGGCACGTTAATTGGCGTTCATCTGGAAAAGGTTTACCACGCGGCGGCAATATCTACGAGTAAGCACAGCTCGTGCAAGGACGTGTGAAATGTCGGTGGGTTAGCGAGGATGGGACGCGCCGGGGGAACTAATTACCCCGCGGGAAAAATTCCTTGGCGCATGCCGGCCAGCGGCGAATCCCGAGGCGACGCACGCTCGCCCGTCGGCGTTTCCATAACTTTTCAACAGAATTGTTAATTGGATTCCTTTTTCTTTCCTTGACCTCCGTTCTCATTCTTTCTCTCTCCTTCCACCCGCCCGTTCTATCCTCCCTGCCGTCCGGCGCTCGCTTCGCCTCGATGGCCGTCTACCTTATTTCGAATTTATTACACCGCTTAATTGCCGTTTTGCGATCCTTTGTTGGGAGTGCGCTGGAAATGCCCGTCACGTCAAACGACAATGGAAAACATGGTTGGAAATAGGGCATAATGCGTTGAAATATAATTAAAAGAAAAAATAAATTTTAAAAACTGCTCTAATTAGCATTTTTGCCGGAGTTTACGATTTAACATGGCACGGAAGGTGACACTTTAACAAGATGACACTTTTTCAGAGGTCCGCTCATACACATTTAGATTTCCTCTTTCTTTGTAACAAGCTGAAGATTGAAATTTCATTAGAATTAGCATTAGCAATTATACGTAATTATATGTAATTAGAATCGATAATAACATTTTAATGAGCGAAACTCGAGACTGTTTATTATGTAAGTAAATTACTTAGACGGCATTATATGTCATTTCCCCGAGAATTATATAAGTCGATGTCATCGGATCGCTGCAAAAGCTACAAATAATTATCGTTTGTGCGGACTGGTTTGCAACCTGTTGGTTCACGCGGTGCTTGCCTCGTTCTCTCAAAGATCAAAAGGCTTTAATTCTAGTAAAAGTCCTTTTCGGCGACTTCCGGCAATGAGCCTCAAGTTGATCCTTACAACCCTCGTCTGAAGCGTTCGCAATATCTTACGACGGGTTTTAAAGAGAAGTGAAGTTGCGAAAGTACGGCGACACGTAACTTTAAAACAGTACTTATAACAGTACGGAGCCCGTAGAACTTTTGCGTCATTTTTAGCGTAATCGTAATACACGTCGAGTGGCTGGCGCTCGAGCAGCTAATTGGGTATTAATGAAAGGCGTAATTATGTCAGAGGGAGAAGCTCCGACAAAGTTACAATTGGCTCTGGTTACTTGGAGTCCTTCTTCTGAAGGCTTCCTCGTTAGTGTGATTAAAAATAGACAGCTAAACAGGAAGTTTTCGCGACGTCTCGTTTCGAATAACGATAACGTAAATTCGAGCTGGAAGTTGCCAAGCTAATTTACGACTAGTCCGTGCCGACCGCAAAACACTAACGTTTATCGTATCTGCTATACGGAGTTGCAAGAACCTTCTAGGTTCCATCTTGAATTTATATCATCATTCATTGTAAAACGTGACTTCGAGCTTCTTCGTATCTGAAGCGCGGTGACTGTTACGAAAACGTCTCTCTCTCTCTCTCTCTCTCTCTCTCTCTCTCTCTCTCTCTCTCTCTCTCTCTCTCTGTAATCGCGGGTAATTGATAATTTTATCAATTTAAGTTTTTTCCATTGGTCAAACTTAATTGAATCGATCAAAGATTCGCTTATCGACAGATAAGCTTGGTGCATCTTTAATTTAGACATTCAAATATTCTACATCTCATAAAAATTTCTTGTAGAAGACTAATATGTTACATGGATTGGAAAAAAACTCACCGATTACTGTTAGATTGACTTTCGAATTCCTCGTCTGGCCAATCTGGAAATCGACGCGGCATCTGTAGATACCGGCGTCTTCTTCTCTGATGTGTTCGACGCCTAGCTGCGCCGGCTCGGTTTCTAGCATGAAAAAGGCGCGATTTGAGAACACGGTGTCGTCCGACCATCTTTCGGCGAGACCGGCGGCTCGATTCCTGGCGTCGACGCTGCAACGTAAAGATCACATGAGTAATCGTAGCGTCGGTAATTAATAATCGAGCGGAGCTCGTTGGCTGAACTATCGTTTTACGTTAATCTTCTCTGAACAATGCATAATCTATCTACGGATAATAACGGATACAATGCACCTATGATGGACGCGTATTCTCCTCTCCTCTTCTCTTTTGTTTTCTAATAAAAGAGAGTTCGCGGTGTTACGTGTCAAAAGTATTTTAATAGAGAATTTGATCGTGTTAATGTCAGTGGATTAATTCGTCTTTTAATATTCATTTCCCATCTTTTGATATTACATATTAAAATATACGTATAAATTAATTTAACAGCTGATAATAATGATGATAATATGATAATTCATGCTTTAGAGATGTGGATTGAAGGATTAAATTTCGATAGAATTCGCAAATGCGAATAAAATTAAATTCATCAGCTGAAGCGCTATTGTGATATCGTTAAAAAGTGTAGGTCATGTATAATATAATATATATTGTATTATATAAACTATCTTTTATACATAATTTTCCGAGATCTTCAAAATGTTATAAAGTGAAGTAATTTGATATTGCGACTTGCAATAATGTTGTGCGCAGTAATAGGCGCATGAATAAAAATATCTATCTGAAAATTGTGATATTGGTCGCTGAATTACGGCAAAAATAATTTCATGGTAGATAAAATACACTTAATACTTGTTTTACATTGAAAATTGTTACAAAGCCAAAACATCGCGAATGTTTACATTGAACAAACGAAACAAACGCAAAACCGATTGTTTTACAATTCTTGTAACACAGAGATTTTCCGTTACCACAATGCTGCGTCGTCGGTTTTGCGCCGATCTGCAAACTTTTCTCTCTACGATCCCGTCATACAACGAAGTTTTCATGTTTTTGTTGCGAGACTTTTTTTTCACTGGGCAAGCCTCGCTGAAAGACATTTAAATCGATATAAGAGAGGTATTTAAAGCGACGCAAAAAGTTCTGTAAAGACGCCGACGGCTGACAAAGACGAGGCGCTGTTATTAAAGGCAAGAAAACACCGTGTTCTACTTCTATTGCATTATTTTCTCCATGGTAAATTTTTCGACTTGTCACTGATTAATTTTATTTAAGGAAAATATCGAGTTCTGTATTTTTCGAGTAGAAATTGAAAATAAAAAGTTTCTCGTGAATTAAACTTTAGGAGAAATAAGGCAAAGTTATAATCTTCAATTAATTTAAAGTGAATTTTACTTTAATGGAATTTTAATTTGTGTTTGTTATAAAGAAGCATTTGATATGCAGAATTATATAATATAATATTACGTATTAATATATAAGATAGTATAGATAAATAAGTTAACGAAAAAATATCACCAGGCTTTGCTCGTCGTCGATCGACGTTTCTATGGCGAATATCGAAATTCTGGCATCGACGACAAAAAAGCTCGCAAAACAAACTCGCTGAAACGACGTTTTAGCGGCCGTCGACTCCAACGGCAACCCATCAGTAACGTGGATGGCACGTGTTGCACTCATCGATAGTCCATCGAGTGACCCGATACGCGATTTTAGAAAATATGTATTTCTGATGAGAGTGGCGATTTTCACAGCGGGCGTCATTATCGCGGTAATATCGATTAATGTTTATCAGCGTTGCTCCATTGCGGTTCGAGAATGAATCTATCAATCGACACGAAGGAATAAATTAAAATTCGCAGGGGATTTCATACTACATAGTTTAAATCGCGTTCTATCTCCAGCGCGTTATCGCGGCCCATGTAATTGGCATATAATTAAAGTTCCTCTGCTGATCGTTACCGCGGGCGATCATTATTTCAAGCCGTGAACGCTATCAAATTGTAATAATTATACTACCATAATTGATTTCGTTTCGCGGCGATTGCATTCTCTTTTGCCGTTAATTACTGCCTAATGATTTACATGACGTGTTACTGATTGCAGTGTATTTTTTGACTCTTGAGAATTTTCCGTTCTCCTGTGTGATGGCGCTTGACATAAATCGCTAAGTGTAAGCGAGACACATATATTCAGAATTAAATATAACAAATATGATTTTATGGAGAAAAAAGTGCAAAATCATGGTTTGTCATTTTTAATTAATTAGTTCTGGACATCTAAAAATTAAAAATAAATCTTCATGTCAAATTTTGTCGTATTTTTCATATCAGAGTTCCATTATTACAACAAGTACTTGTTACAAATTAAAATCTGATAAAATTTGATCAATTTTCCTGCACAGATAGCGCGCGATGGAATATTTCGGTAGAATGCAGCGCGCGGACAAATAAATATATTTCATTGTTAGTCCCGTATAATAATCGATCTATTAGCATTCCAAGCGCGAGTCGCGAATCCGCGTCGTTTATATTCTCCACTCGCGCGATTGTATTGTTGGAAAATGGAAATATTTCCTACTTAGCGCCACCGGACAAACGCGAATTCCCCATGGAATTCGAACAAGCGAATCCGCTTAAGTGTCGTTGCTATTTTTCTGCCTTTTAAGAACTGTTACCGGCTTCACCGCATGACGAGTTATATATCGTAACATTTGAAAAGGTTTTAAAATCGAGCGCGGCGACGGGCCGAGAGGATACTCCAGCATCATGCGGTATTTCTGCTTTTCTATGAAAGGAAGTGGATAATGGTGTAGGTGGAGCGAGAGCCGCATGTTAAGCAGCAACGGCGTTGAAATATAAAGTACTTAACGTAATACAGCCGCCGCTAATCTGCGATGCAAATAGAGGTTTGTTTATAAATAACACAATATATCATCGGTATGCAATAACTTTACATTAAACGTGGATCTAAAATCGGATTTCGCTGCTGAGGCATTAAGAAAAAGTTGTGGTACGCCCAATTATTTATATCTTCTACTGGATTTACTCTTATTTACATATTTATATATATTTCTAAACCTACTTTTATCATCTTAATAAATCTAACAAAGTAAACTGACTCGACGAGTTATTATTAATGTGCGAATAATCTTCATTATTTTAATATTAGTATAGCAATTAAAAGTGCTTTCAACGCAAGGACAATAATTAACTTCTCGAGTATGCATTAGCAAAATATTGAGATACAAGATACAATCTGTTTGTTTCCTGGATAGTTCACGTAGTTTATGGTGTACGTGAGAGAAAATTAAACCGGAGGAAAAATCACGTCGCGCGCGATAGGGAAACTAGATGGACGCAATTTTATTGTCTACCGGGATTAACCCGGTTAAGACGCCGTGCCGGCGCAGCGCGTCGATGAAACTATCGCGAAATTTCGTTATCTACGAGCGCGCTCATCGCATTTTCCCTGACGAGCTCGAAAAGCCGCGCTCTGGTGGTCTGGTTGTATCGTCGGCATCGCATAAACGATCTGATAGGCGGCACGTGACGGGTAATTAAAATCTCGTGCAAAATCATATGAAACATTTAAATCTGTTTGTGTTGACCTCGAATAACGACGTAGCCACACAAAATATACCGCCGCGTGTCGCGCCGTTGATTTTTTTTTGCTTTCCTCTTTTTAAACGTTTTTCAATCATAAACATACATTTTCGGCCGTATCGCTATTTTCCCCGCTGTCATTAGTATGTGCGTCGCGGCGCGGTGAGTAACAGTTGTGCATAACATAGCCGCAAAATTTAATCTACATAATTCTGGATTGAATCCAAACCGGTGATTAAAAAGCGTTACCGGCGAGCCTCGCGCTCTGTCTCTTCAAGGACATGGACGGTAATCCAATTTCGCGTCTTTTTTTTATTTGCGATAATATTAACGTTCCCACCGGTAGTTTATTTGTCGCACAGTAATCATGCAATTTCTGACAATGCATCGACGAGACTTTTTTTCGAGAATCGCTTCAAATCGATGCTTATGCAATATTCAACGGTGACTCCGCGCAAACAAGATATATATTCTTTGAGCGACGCGAAGCGACGGCGAAAATCGAGTTCGAAGACAATTTTCGGATGAAAGCGACTACCAATCTCGCATTGTGCCGACGGGCTGTTTGCAGTCCGTTCTGTAGCGACAGAGAAACGACCGGCAGTAGTTTGCAGATCGCTGTACATGCGCATATGTATGCGGGGTCGCATGTGTATGTTCGCCTGTATATGGATTGATTGCACTTTACCTGTAAACTGATGTACCGAGATCGTCGCGATACCAGAGCACAAGATGCACCGAGTCCCCCTCGTGAGTGGTTGATATGTCGCAGGGAAGATAGGTGGTATCTCCGACTAGTGCCACGATGTGTGATATGGGTACTAAACAGAAATGCGGAACAGTTAGACTCGGTTTGACAGAGACAGGAAAACATTTTCGAAAAATATGATTTAAAAATCTAACATTTTATAATGCAAAAATACTTTCGCAAAACAAGTTTTATCACATTACAAATATCGAAAAATAACAGAAATGTTTTATATTAATCATATATATAAGATGGCTAATTAATAAAATATAAACTTTATGCATATTTTTTAAAAAATTTCTTTACAGAATTGATTTATTTTTTAGAAACAATCAGAAAATCGCTATTTTACACACGTACGCAATAAAAATGTAACTTGCCAAATCGGACGGCGATATGCCTGCATATATTGAAAAAAATGCAATTTGCTCGCGCGGCATATAAATGAATTCATTCTATTAGAATAACCTTTCACTTTGTATGCAATTACATATCATGTTTGTTTTGTTTCCACGTAAATTTCTCTGTGATTATATTATTCGGCGATGCGTAAACGCTTGCATAATGCGATAAGTATCAGCCTATTATTGCTCGCTGATACTGCTCGTATACATAATCGTGTTTAATATTAGGATAAATACTTTCATTAATTTGTAATAATCTAGTAGCTCTGTTGCGACGATAACATATCAGTAAAAATAAATTCGCGCGTTGTATTCTGGCGTTTATATTATTATGGAAATCAAAATGGAAATACTAATTTCTTTACGCATCCCAGTAATTATATTTGCTCATTTTGCTTAAATGATTTTGATGAAATAATTTTGAAATGATAAGAGTGATAACAATAACTAAATAGCATACTAACAGCTATTATTACAAGCATCATGAGCCAGACGTTTCATATCCGTTTCATAAAATAAAGGCTTTTCGGTCTTTCGTTGTATTTTCGATAAAATGTCTTCGGCTGCATATTGTACGAGAAAACCAGTACGAAAGCTTTGATGTATTCGCGTATAGATACGCCGCAGCGAGGCCGTAAAAATTCAGTATGCTCGTGAAGATAAAATTCGGTCGGTGGAGTATCGCGTGCGGGTTGTTCGCGTTGCGAAATACGGCAATCCTTTCGATCGAAATTAAATGATCGTTATTTATGATGTCTTTCTCCTTCTCTCTACCTCTTCACTTCTCTCTTTTTCTCTCAGCATACGTGGTTGCTGTGTGACGACGACGAGAAATTTTAAACCATTCACGAAGGTATTCCAGCAGACGTCATCACAGGAGTTCGTGCTCGTTTCGCTACGTCGATTTTCCGACGATGGCGTATCGGTGGTCCGTTTTTTCTTTTGTATACTATTCGCCGAGATATTCAGTGTAGAAGATATCGAGCAGGCCGCGAGTTGCGTCGACGAGTAAAGTTTTATCCGAGAACGCCCTTTACTAGGAATAAAATTTGCACTGGACTCTAAAATGCAATGAGCGTTCGTTTGCGTCGTCCTGCAGCGTAGCTCCGCATAAATAAAATTTTTTACAATTACGTTGCTCGCTCGATAAAAACGCCTCATTTTATACACTCTCGCGTCAAGCCCTGAAGGCGTACCGCTGGTCTCCATTATTTTCTTACGCAACAAAAAAACCATGCATACGCAATAACTCGTGCTAGGACTCAGAAAAATGCACACGACATTTATGAGCCTGCAATGTGGCTTCGATTGTTTTTAATGGCTGACTTCACAACAATATATCATATATATTTTCATATAGTTTCATCATATTTATATAGATATAATAAAATAAAAATATAATATAAATAAAAGTAAAATTGTAAGAAAAAAAATAAAAATAAAAATTTCCTACACTTTATAAACACTCTTATCGTTTTAATAAAATTGTAAATCTTGAGATCTTTTTCACTCAGTTTATCGCCAACGTATCTTTACAGCAGGTAGAAACATACGAAAGAAGCTATGCTATTGTCGACGAAATGATTATTAGCTGACCAAAATTCCCTGTAATCGTATTCATAATGCCGAGAAAGTAGTCACAAAGCGGAAGATCCGTCAAGAGGATGAACAGAGCGGATCACACGGATTCACCAATAAATTGATTCGGCAGCTGGCGAGAATATGAGATGTGTCTTTGTAAAACCCTCGTAAATTTGGAGGAAATTAGAGTATTATGTCTTACGACTGCCTGATCGGATTAACGTCGTATGATGGATGCCACACAATCGCATCTCACAATCGCACTCCGCGGATTTACCTAAAAATCGAGACTTAAAACCGCCGCCGCAGCGTGGCATTAGAAAGGAATCTCGCTTCGAAATGCCGCGTTCAGCACATCGTGGTTCCCAGATAAATCCTCCTTTTTTTTCTCTTTCCTCTTCTCGTTTGCCACTTCGATGCATCGAAGATATCAACCGCGGATCCTAGCTGCGCATTTCAACGGCGGATGATTTTATCGGGCCGACAGGCGTGGCGAGCAGTTTTGTTGCGCATGTTCGTTGTTCGATGCGCGTAATGGCTTCCGGTACCATCCCACCGATGGTTAGAATATCTTTCTCTCTCTCTTGTGCCACGTGAGACCATGCTCTTTCCGTTTTCTTTCGTATCTGAGACGTCTGTAAGAGTGTACCGTGTCATCGCGTCTAACATAAGCCCTCACGCTCCAGTGGGACTCGAAATGGCGTATTTTCCGCTATGCTTTTGTCGCGCGTTTATAAAAATTCATTTTATTCTTGTGATATGTAGGTATACTATATAAAATGCATCTTTATTTATTAATTATCTTCATGTTGCTCAATAATCAACTTCACAAATATTAATGCATATTTTTATATAAATTTCGGAAATAGTTTATCACGTATTTTCTCCGAAATTAATTCAACTAATAAAATGTTTTTATCATATAGTAGTCACACACACATAACACTTTAATTTCGCGTTATGCTTTATTCTCAAGACACCCTGTATCGAAAGGATGTACGATGCTCATGTCTCCCTTGGTCTCGGCCAATATTCGCACCCTTCGCCTTGCTTTGCCTCTCGTCGTCTACCTCGATCGTTATAGTGACGTTCGAAAACACGTCTTGACGTTTCGTGCCGTATCAACGACACGTGTGCATTATATCGGCGACGTTGCAGGCGTCGCTTGCGTCATGCTGTTTGTCATATCGCGGGAAGCATGTACGTAAACGGCTGTCGTGCAGCAGCGGCGGCGGCAGCAGCAGCAGCAGCAGCAGCAGCCAGGAGAGCACACCGTACGGTCTGAATCGATAATATCAAAGGGAAGAGAGAGAGGACGTGTGTAGGCTTCGGACTTTGCGGCCGGCGGCCTGCTCCGATTTGACCCACATAGAGCCCCTAACGACGCGAATCGGTCGACGTAGACGGAGCATTCAGAATTAAACCGCAAGTGTACCCGAAGGCTGTGTCTTGTGGTTTTAATTCTTTACTCCTCAAAAGAGTAGAGGAAAATTCTAAAAACTTTTTATTTTTTACACTATTATGTCAATGCAAAAATATAAAAATATGAATTAAAATGTATCAAAAACTGATTAAGCTCGCTTGGGAGTTGCATTTTAAACTATTATCAGTTATTTTGTGGAAACTTCAGAAAATAATAATATCTCGTACTTTGACTTTTTTTTTTAGTTTAAAGAATGCAAAATTATCGTTGGTGAAACAGAGCATATCGATATTGTTGTAAATAGCGCGCGCGAGCCAAGATTATTCCGCGCTTTTACGCTCGGCAGCGTCTAATGCGCGCATCAGGTATCGCAGTATATTCCAAGCGTATTCAAGTCATAGTCTTAATCCGAGAATGCTAAGTATGCATGGCAGCCGTGTTGCTCCTAATCGCGGGTACCCGAAAATCTCAGCGGCTGTGATTAAGTACGCGCACAATTTTGTTAATAAGTGTAATTAATAACTATAAATATGCCAAACACATCTCCTAGGCATCACATTATCGTATCTAAAATTATGCTCGGCGTCAATTATAAATGCGACTCACAGGCAGATATATTTCAATAATGTAAAGTAAAGCTTTCGCGCGTTGAAACGCGAGAGAAACGTATGCATATGCAGACAACCTCCATATGCAGCATACAAATGTGCACGCACTGCGACACACACTGCCAAATTCAATGCATTAGAAAATGCATTAAATATACAAATACTTCATCGACTGTAAATGACGTAAGCCACCACACCACAATAGTGCGTTGTCACGAATGTTATATCAAGTATGAAATATTCGGATCGGTTTCCCAGGGCTAAATACTGCTCGATAGTATTTGGCGCTGGGATATATATTTATAAAAAATGTATTTATAATAATTGAAATGTTTCGCAGGCCGAGTGTGCGGCATTATTCACCGCTTGAACAAATTCATGGATTTATTCGCGGCGGTAGCTCACGCATCGTTGCATCATAGATGCATTTTTGAATAAACTATACGTAGCAAAAGCATTTCTCGTACTCTTTTGATCAGTCGTTTATTGTTTAATATTTCGATTCAGCTTTAAATCAATTATTATATGCAGTATAAGCGGCAGCGTTTGCTCGTCGAAACAGATTGATCAGATGACTTTTCGTACATTTTATCGCGCGCGATTTTTCGGAAAATATTTACGGTAAATCCCCCGCTTCTGAAATTTCACACAGCTTCTGCGGTCGGATGTGATATTTTGAAAAACCTTGTTGAATGAACGAAACGAGAACGGTCCGTTGTTTGGCGTGTGATAAATCAAATACGCGCCCGAGCTAAAGCGTACTCTCTAATGTCAAACACCGCAGAATTGCATTAACGTCGTGCGCTAACGTTTTTCAATTTCGAGCGGCGCCCGCGTAACATTGTGCTTATAGTTTTTAAAGCGTTTATAACTTTTTAGTCACGTTCACCTGTCATTTTTACAATATGCAGTTCGCGTGTGTGTGTATGTGATGGTTAGCGCAAAATGACACGGAATGAATGAAGAGAAGCGGAGGTAGAAAAAACATTGGTGGTAATGTTAACTTTCTTCGACGGCAATGCAAACTCTGATCATTTAGCAAGAGCGACAAATTAAG